GAAAGGTGAACAATGCAGCAGGTGCTATCATTCACCTGAAACAACAATAAGACTCACCATCTTGACTGTTGCCGCGATTTGAAGACCGAGTTGTCGACGTTGGCTGCAGAGGAGGACTGAAGAGGTTGGAAATTTCGTGGGCTGACTTTGTGGATGGTTTCGCTTAGCGTGGCTGCATCCCAGCGCAAAATTGAGGTTGGCCACGAGCGGGGGAGAACACAACAGAGTACGGAGTACAGACAGCACTATGCAGTATCGGTAGACAGTTCAAACAGTAATATGAATAACACTGCATTATTCTAATAAATTCGAAATATTGCACATGGGGAATATGAACCAAAGGAGAATTATCTACAAAAAGGATATCTATCACATTTGGCGCAGTATTTCCGTTGCAGTTTCTTTCGGCTCAAAGCTTGGCTTTGTCCCCAGCGTCTAGCAATTGCAGGCCAGTGATCTTCTCTAATTCTCTGATAGCATCCTGTGTCCGGCCGAGATTGACCTTGATTGTTCGCAATCCAGCCTTCTTTGCGGCCTTCAAGTTCTCCCCGATGTCATCGAGGAAAACAACATCCGAAGGCGTAACCCCTTGCAAACCTTTGTTCTTCGCCAATGTGTCCATCTCCTTCAGCGCAGCTGCATAGATCTTGGGATCTGGCTTCCTGAGTCCCGTATGCGCCGATGAGATGAAAAAGTCAAATTGCGACTTGACGCCGTTTGAGTCACTGTTATAAGGATGTCCATCAGGGAATATGACCGTATTTGACAGAGCGCCAATAATGAACTGCCCTGACGCTTTCAGCTTTTGCAGCGCTGGGTACATGTATGGGTCTGGGGTCCTTGACACTCGCATCATCTCCCAGAAGAGCCATTCTGCGTCAATTTCGGGCAACGGAGGTGCCGATGTTGGCACACCGGTTGTTTGCTTCTCCTGCAGTCTCTCATGGAACTGTTTCCATAAATCTGGGTTTCGTAGATCTCCGTTGAACTCTTTGAAGAAGTCCGCATCCAGTTTGATCTCGCCTCGCTCGAGCTTGTGCCAGCTGCCGTTTGGCGATGTGCGCGAGATACTGAAATTTACCCATCCCTTGGGGATGTTGTTTGCCAGCTCGTAGTCCAGAATGGCTTGAAAGGGAGAAACGACCTAGCCTTCATCAGGAAAGTCTTCAAAGATTATGGTTATTATTCGGCAGCCTTACACACACTCCTCCAATATCGAAGAGTAAGCCCACAGGCTTTTTGATTTCGAGCATGACGCAGAATACAATGGAAGAAAGTCTTGTGATGTCTTAATGGAGAGCTTTTGTCAGCCTTCAGTTAACCAAGTTACTCCGTATCAGCTTGCTGGGCTGAGGCCGGTATTTGTTACTACGGGTAGCAACCAGGCCAAAAGGTGGATTGCCGAGGTTAGAAGTAGAGCGTAAGCCATCTACCTCTCCAATGATCTCACAAAGGCCGAGGAAGTACTTGTATGATCACTACTTATTTTGACCACCTCTGCTTTCGCATGATTGCAAGTCGCGAATTATAATGAAGACAATTGCAACCTAGGAAAGATCATTGGATCCAACAGTGAGAATGTAGTAAGAGGTTCGCATCACGTGATCTGTTATCGATAGCGAGATTCCACGCGCGGAGCTGTTTGCGCGATCTGTTCGGTGTCGACTTGAGGACGCAGGTGTCGATATGGGGCAATGGATGCAAGTCGAACTGTCTTCGAACTGAAATCAGCATTTATCAGGGCGCAGGTGCGGATTCTGTCAGAGAGCCTTGAGCCACCGGAAGATTGGAGAATCTACGCGACTGAGTCGGAAGAAGATGAGTTGAGTGTTAAGGCGGTTCAGGATGCGCTGCAGAAATGTGAGTCTGTCCTAGGCTTAGTCCTTTGCTGCCTGCACTGCATGGTGTCCTCGAGATGAAATCAATGCGAAGTCATCTCAATATATACCATAGATTTTAACGTTTTTCTAGTGAATGGAGCCTTGAAACAGCACAATCGCATCATCTACTCTTCTCAAGCAATTCAACACGTCGCGCAACAGATAACAAGCCTTTACTGGTCTTTAGTTAGTCAGGCCACACACAATGTTGGCTTTTCCGACAAGCGGTTGGAGACAACAGTAGATTTGTGCAGTCACCTGTGAGTTCCGCGATACGGATACCTTTCAGCCCACCTTGCTGACATACCGCAGCAATATTACTCAATTGCCCGCGGAATTAGAGGACCAACACGCAAGTGAGGAGGAGCGGTTAAGGTTCGAAAATCACAAGATATAGGTTCCATTTCATCTGGCTAATGGTCGTGGCACAGATATCAGGAGCTACGAGAACGGCTTATGCGTCTAGACACCCAGCGACAACAGCGACACCGGCGCCTTGACCAGTTGAGGCGATTACAGAAATTACTGGAACCTTTCACCGCGCCTCAGAACAATATCCAGCCCAACCTTGTCACGAGAGACGGAGAGCTTGTTCAAGAGTTGGAGAAAATGCGAATGCTTGTTGCCCGGGTCGGCGGCCGGATTGAGCAGAGTAAGGAGAGAAAGACCTCGGAAAGGGACCCGCCTTATGCATTAGGGGCAGATGAGAAGCTGGCAGCGCTTCTCAACATGACATGAGCAGACCTGAACTCAAACTAGGCAGAGGTCAGATAGGAAGACTCCAAGAAACCGGCCTAGACGGAGACTATCTCTGTTATTCCGAAGTAAGGCAGAAGACATTCAAAGCTTAGTACTCTGTAGGTTGTATCATATTCCCGGTAGAAAATGACAGATGCGGTTGCTATTTTTATGTTATTGAAGGGTTGCAAGGGGGTTTGGAGGGAAAACCTGGGGGAGATTGACTGCAGCGGCACGGCCAATTCACATACAGCAGGTGCTATCGACATAATAAAGAGAAAGTCATGAAACTAATGGACTACTTTCCTGCGAGTCATCATCGTCATCTACTCCTACCTCTCGTAATTTATCCTTTATCGCCCCTCACTTAGTGTGGAGCAATCATCCAGATACTTTTTACCCCAGAGCTTCCATCATCAACCACTTCCTATCAACTGGCAACATGAAAGGGATGGAGAATGATGATTCCAGTGCTCTAGTTACCTTCACCAGTGAAGATGATCGGAGTTGTGTTTCCGAAACTCCGGCGCTTGACTGCTTCGGTGATGGCGTCCCTCCAGCTTCCCCCAAGCTTGACTACCCCCCTCTAGCATCTCCGGCACCGCGAGAGCTCGAGCTGGATTCTTCTCTTACACAGGCATCCCCGGAGGAGCTCCTTTCCGTTGTGCCACTTACCGATAGTCCACTTTGTCAGACCCGTCAATCCGGCACCATCGACGCGTCTACTTCCCCCGCGGATTCCAAGGCACCTTTCGTGCGTGGACATCGCCGTCGTTCCACCCACGTTAGTCGTGGTGACCTTGAGAAATTTAGGAAGGAAGTTCTAGGTATTGTTGAAGATCCTTCTCTCTGGTGTGAGGAGATTGGCGGATCTCCAGCAAGCATCGATCCGTCTACGCTCGACGAATTGAACACAGCTTTCGCTTCCGCGAGTATGTCCATGAACAGCGGCAGTGGTATTCCTAGCAACAACCCTGGTTCGGGCATGTTCTCTAATTACGTCGACAACACCGGTAACTCCGCAAATTTGCCTAACTCTTCTCGTCAGTCGATGTCCCCCGCCATGCCGAGCCCCTCGACTCAGGTCAATGGTGGTGGAATGCCCGGTATGAACGCTGGCATACCTATGAATGCGGGCCATCAAATGGATCTTCATCATCTGTATGAGATGGTGTTGGAGCTGAGTGAGGTTTTGAAGAACAACCGCGAGACGACCAAGAGCATTGTATCTACTGCGGAGGAAATCATGGTACGTTGGACGGATCGTGAAGGCTACACTGTAGCTCTGCGAATCTGCTGTTTGGGTGTTTCGCTGACAGAGATTGCAGAAACGTGCCTCTTCTGAGGGAACTACTCCCAGCTTGCAGCAGGTCAATGGTGAAATTTCCGGTAGGAACCCAAGTCTACCATTGTCCGTCCAGATTAGAAGCCGCTGACAGTCTCTACGTTAGCTGCCCGTATTGCCGAACTCGAACGTGCCCTCGCGAAGGAGAAGCGCCTTGTGGAAATTTTGAAGCAGGAGCAGTTTGAGAACACCAAACTGATCGGGGAATACGAAGCAGCTGTTGGGACCATGGTCGAACAGATCCGCAACTACTGTCAGAACAATAACATGAACTACCTGGCCCAGAAACGCCACTACAACAATCTGCTCCAGGCCGAACGCGACGCTCATCTGGAAAGTCGTCTCGACCGCGATCATTGGCATGCTCAGACCATGAAGTGCGCTGAGATGATTCGCACCGCCTACCGCCTTCGCTGCGAAGAGGAAGAGCTGCCCATCCGCATCGTCTCTGGTCTACAGAACGAGGTACGCGCGTATCGCAATGCCCTTGGTATGGAGCCAGAGAAACCAGAGGAAGAGTATGGTTGGGAAATTCTTAAGGATGTGCCTCCAAGCGTTGACTAAACGCGATGGTCGTCCGCATTCCGCGAGTACACGCTTTGGATTCAACGAGTTATGACAGTCCTCTTTTGCTTGCTTGATGGATAAGGCGTTCTTGGGAGCAAATCTTGGATGGCTGCGGAATTTCCTGGTGAAGATACCCATCTCTGCAATGCTTATCTCTACGGTCTCTTCGTTCGTTCACTCTTAACTTTGCCGGCGATGGTCGTTCAGTGTCTGGGTTTCTGGAAATCTGGAGAATCCTGGTTGATATCCATGATTTTGGAAATTATCTTGACTCTTGAGCATCCCAACGCGACAGGCGCTTTGATTGAATTCAATACATTGCCTATCTGCTGCTAGCAGCAGTAATTGCAGCCTTGTACCATTTCCAATTGATCCCGAGTCGAATCGTAGGATCCTTCCAGCTCTGGCTTATCAATATCGTACATGACTCACCAAAGTAAGGTTATTATGCTGGCCATCTAATCCAAAGTTCAATCGGTGTAAAAGACTTCGTCCAGGACTTTCCACCACCCAGGACCCTCTGCACTGCCCACAGCGCCAGGAATGGGACTTTCCTGCAAGTAAGAACACATCAGCATCGTCCAGTTGTCTAGGTTCGTAATGTCAGTCAGCTGAACCAGCATACCTGCATCCCATCAGTCATGGCCCACCACTCGCGCACTTTTGGATTCGCCCTCATCTTCTCCATATCGGCCTCATAATCGTCGCCGACGTACTTGAACGTCGCAAATAACGTGCGCTCATTGTCGAAGAATATCGAGTCTACGTAATCACTTATATCAGCTAGGCCCCGAGAACCTATATGGGAAGTCCCCTACGCACAGTCTCTGATATTGCAATCCTTGATCTGCTGCAGGACCTCGGGCCATACGTTCGCGTGGCATTCTTTGTAGGCCGCGACGGCGGAGGGCTTCAGATGGACGATTTGCGCGATGCGGCGGACTGGTGCCATTTTGGGCTGGTGAGATGGGCCGTTTCGGTTGAGGTGAGATGATGTATCTATGCGATGCTAGCTATTTGATATTGGGAAGAATGGAGAAGGAATTTGTTGATCTGTTCTGATTGTGATGCCCCTCCTTGGGGATATGGGGTAGGACTCCGCTCGGGATGCTTTGACCCGAGATTATTAGATTATGTGGGGAATATATACGTTTGCGAGACCCTGATGGTGATTCTCAAAGGTCGACAAGGTTTTATGTACGGGTGAGGATCTTTTGGAGGTACTAGCATGTGTATGTTTCAGGATCATGAAATCTTCATTAAGACTATTAATCATCTCAAGGTGATATGTAAAAGGTTCCAGATTGTATCCCAAACGCCGATATATGTATCGCTAATCATCCCAGGTATCTAAAATGCAAGTTGAACGAGGAATCATGTAGGAGGCTCTATCGTAACAGTTCGTATTGTGGTCATTGCTGCATCATCTGGGATTTCGGTACTGGTCGAATCCACGAAACGGCCAGGTTGGCGGCGATGGAGATGACGCCGATGATCCAGAGGGACCGGCTGTAGTGCGTCTCATTGTATCGGAAGATGATGGCGAAGATGATTCCACCAAGGTTTCCCATGCCGCCCACAGCACCGGAGACGACACCTGCAGAGACAGATTTTTTAGCAAGTGGCACTTCAGGGAGAGGACGGAAGACGGGTAGCTTACCATTCGCGAAGGGATGAACATGAGGTACGACGGCAAAGTTGGCGCCATTGCATGCTTCCAGAAAGAATGCCAGTCCGGCAGTGAGACCGAACATAGTTGCTTCAGATCTGGGATTGGTGAGGCCAATGGCCAGTTGAAAAGCACCCATGACAACACCGAGGAAAGAAAGAAGAAGTTTCTTCGACCATACGGCCCCTGTGTACTTGTACAGCATGTCTGCAATGAATCCACCAGCAGGACGGAAAACAACGTTGAGAAGACCGAACATTGCTGCCCAGCGGCCGGACTCGGTTTGGCCCATGTGAGGGAAGTTCTTGGAATAGAATTCGCCCAGAATGGAGTTTATAGCGAGCTCAGATCCAAAGGAACAGGCATATGGGATGGCAACAGCGGCCGTGGACAGACTGAGAAGGACGTTCATGACCTCCTTGCGGCTAGGGGCAACCACAGTGTCTGTTCTGAGAATGTCAACCTGTCCAACAGCTTGAGCTTCAGGATCGACCATCTGAGGTGTCTGGATGCCCTTCTTCTCCGATTGAGGAGTGGATAGATTGATGGACGGAGGACCAGAAGGGTGGGTAGAGGGGCTGCCTGACATGAGGTTGATGATATTGGCTTGGGATTCATTGCTCTCCTTCATCCAGATGTGGCGCTCCGACCATTTGCCAGTAGGGGTATCATCGCATATGAACAGCATGCAGAGAGCCAGGACGACGATGATTATGAATGGGACAATGTACGCAACGCGCCATGCTTTATGCGGTGCGAGGCCTTGAGAGTGAATAAGGGAGTCGTAGATGGCAGGCATGACGAAACTGAGGAAAAATGTCAGCGAGGCCCACGGACGTAGATCTATCCGGGCGAGCGGCTTACTATGTGATTCCACCTCCAGCATTACCCCAGCCTGCGGCCAGAGAGTTGGCAGTTCCCACAATGTTCTTATCGAAGAAACCGGTGCACCATACTTGGCAAGGGACAAATGTACCACCAAGAATGCCAACGAAGAAACGCAGCGCGATCAAACCATTAGGGGTGGTCACCAGACCAGCCATAGCTGTAGGAATAGAGCCACAAAGCAAGAGGCCGATGAAAACAAGTCGAGGCCCGAAGCGGTCACATAGCGGCCCAGCGATGAAACGAACAAGGAATCTGTGCCTGTCAGCGGTGGGCTCCCATGGACCTATCCGTTCAATTCTTACGTAGCCAGAAGAGCAACGATATTCGAGTTTGCGACTTGTTGCTGTGTCATATGAAGATCTTTGCGAATGGTCACCGTCAACTAGGCAGCCATTCTCAGTCAATTGTTCCGCGTTTCCAAGCGCTTCCGGTATAGTAGACCATTGACTTACCAGAGGTGGAAATGCATACCATGACAGAAATGCAACCATGAAGCCAAGCCATGAGAAGAAGAATACCCGGCCATACCGGTCGAAGGGATTGAGGACTGGTATCGACCTCGCTTTTCGGTTACTGGGGTTGATTTCCGGTGAGACGACAAGTAATTTGAGTGAGTCCATCATTGCCCGAAGTGCCTCCCCTGGCAGTTGGTCGGCGTATAACCGAGAGTAGACAAAACAGACAGTAAATATGGACCGATTGAGTGCGCAATGAGCCACTAGTTATTCCAAGACGAGTAGAGTAATGAAGTAATTCACTGAGGATGTATAGGAAGCTTGAAATTGTGTAGATATATACGGCGGACTGTCATAGACAGGAGCAATGGCTATATAAGATGATGCCTGAGAGGCAATGAAAGGTGTACCAGAAAAACAAACGACGTAAGTGCTGAGATATCTTGATTCTCATGTGTGGCAAGCCTAAAGCATCAGCTATCTACAAGGAGTGTTGCACTGCTTCGAGACCATGTCGCTACATGGCTTATGACGGAGGCGTCTCCTCCGTATAGATTAGATCTGAGGGAGCTGCTTGTCCGTTCGATATTCGTAACGGATAAGCAAAGATGAGAAAAGATAATGTCAACCATATCTGCCCCAGTTTAACTGGATGATCCACATGCCTTTTCCGAGGGCGTAGTTCCTGACAATTAGAGTCATATTATTGGGCTGTCATCCGTCCAATACCTTGGTAACCCATTTTTGATTCACAGATAATCTGATATAATTAGATATCTGATAGACGGTCTGAAAAGGGTTACCGGGCAGCTAGCCCGCGTGCCAGCCAATGCACTGCAGAGATAAGGGTTCGATAAGAGCCAAATCTGGAGTCAGCGTTTCCCAGTTCGGACCGCCCCTGATATCAGGACACTGATAGCGTCTGTATTGGTAATCGCTGATCCCGCAGCCATCTTGAGCCTACTGCTTCGACAGAATGGCTGCCAGAACATGGAACCAGGAAGGAAGAAACCGTGTGAGATCATGGTCAAGACCATGGGCGAGGATGAGCCGGAGGTGTTGATAACCGAATTTCCCGCCATTGGACAGCTCCCCGGATAATGACGCCCTCAGAACCTTCCATGTGCTTGGAAGAGACAGATAGTGCCAGCATTGCCTTGTGTCACAGCCTCAGAGGACATCACTCGAACCCAGACTGATAGACGAAAATGCTGACGGTTGACAACGAGCTCCGCGGAAATATGAAGAAGAGATGCTCTCCTTTTAAGGCAGCGGTGGAGACAAAAGTGGGCGATTCTAGTGGGGGACCGAGATAAGACCAGGAATTGTCTCGACCGTGGTCTATCTGAATCGAAGTGGCAGTTTGAAAAGTAAAAAGCGATAACTTAGATAGGGGAAGATAAGAAACGATCAGCGGTGAACCAATCAGTCGGGCGCACCTGGTTAATGGTTGGTGCACGTGATTGGTGTTACCCTAATGCTGATACCATTCCTGCCTCAGTTTATTCAGGCGCCAAAAAACCCTCTCCGACAGCAATCAATTTTTTTAGGGAGGCATTTTCGATGTGTACTGATATATTGCGGGATTTAGCTCTCCATGGAACGGAATATGCGACATTTGCAAGGATGGTATACATAATCATTCTGATCATAATCAACTATATTGTATGCTAAAGGTCAAGGATATCTGTGCAACTCGTAATACATGCAAACAGAGCAAGTAAAAAAGACCCCATAATAATGACAACCGGTACGCCTCATTCTGTATGCCATATTAATGCTACCAATCGATGATATTTGCCGCTTGTGTGGTCGGCGCTTGCGTACTGATATCACGCGCCTTCTTGCCCCTCATGCCCTTGTACCTCTTGTCGACCTTCTGGAACGGGTCTGGGGCTTCCCCCTTCTTCACCTTCCATTTCTCAGTTCCCAGAACTGAATCTAGTTCCTCGACGGGCGGCAGCTTCATATACACCCAGCCGTCGTCGCGTTCCTCAACAGGGAAGGTCGCGATGTTCATGCTCTCGTCATTCGAGCACCGCCCTGCCTGCTCACCGTTGAGCTCAAAGTTGCGTTTGTGGTAAGGGCAAGAGACCCAATATTTACCCGCATCGTCATCGCCGATCAGACCATCAGACAGGACGAAGGCGCGTTTGTGTGGACACATTTGTTGCGTGGCGTAGTACTTGCCCTTGACCTTGAAGATGGCCAACTGAGTATCCCCGCGCTTGATGTTAGCCGAGGAAATTTGCGGGTGCTCATCTGAAAAGTAATTGGCTTCGAGGACAGGCTGCCATGACAGACTCGACCACTGGTGACCCTTGAAGTCCTCGTTTGCAGAGTCCTTGGGCCAGTATGCGGGTCGCTGCTGTTCACGTTCTTTGATGACATCAACCGTGTCGACAGTCTCGTCGCTGTTGGCGAACTGTTGAAAGTATTTGCGTCGCTTAGGATTGCGGACTGTCTCAGTCCACTCGCAAAAGTAGCTGTTCACCAATTCTTCCATCTGTTGTTCCATCTCAGCTCCAATCCCCAACTTGTCATCAATGATCACCTCTCGGAGATAGTTGATTCCCCCGGGGAGGTTCTCAATCCACCGGGCAGTGCGCTGTAGTTTGTCTGCCGTTCTGATATAGAAGATGAGATATCGATCAATGATAGGAATGACTTTCTCAGGAGGCACATCTTTCGCAAGCAATTCGGAATGCCGAGGTTTGGCGCCTCCATTGCCACCAACGAAAATGTTAAATCCCTTTTCGGTTGCAATCAATCCAAAACTGATCAGAAATTAGCTGCATGTACCTTTAATCTCTAAGAATGACCTTGAACTTACTCCTTGTTCTGAGCCTCGGCACACTCTCTGACACAACCAGATACCGCTCCTTTGAGCTTGTGAGGTGACCGAATACTCTTGTACCGCTCCTCCAGTCGGATCGCCAT